AATATACATATATTCATATTTATTTGCGCCATTTATGTTAATAAATTAATTGTGTGATGAATAATTATTAATAGCTTCGTAATTAAATAAAAAAATAACTTAATATAATATGATTATACGACAACAAAAGCCACAAAATGGTGTATATATTAATAAAGAGAATTAATTATAAATAAAAAAAAATTTACAATTATTTTATTTAAAAAAAAAAAACAAAAAACAAAAAACTTTTTTTTTCCTTCTTTTTCGTATCGATTACTACAATTTACAAAGGTAATGCATTGGTTTTAGCAGCGAGGCAATGAGTATTTTAATATTGTTTTTCTTTTATGCAAGTAATTATTATTATGCTTTTAATTAGACATACATTTTTTATTTGAATAGGAAAAAATTGAAAATAAATGTAAGTGACGCGAATTAATAAAATATTTTACTATATGATTATTCTATTGTGTAGAGAACGAAGTCACCAACACTCAATGCAATCAGCGAGAGATGGATAATAATCAAAATATGGACAATAATGAGCAACAACAGCAACAACAGCAACAACAGCAACAACAGCAACAAGAACAACAACAACAACAACAACAGCAGCAGCAGCAGCAGCAGCCAATACAGGAGAGTAATGTAAGCCAGCAGGAGACGGAAGTCCAGAATAAATATCAATCCCAAACAGAAAGTTCCGAGGAGCAAGAGTCATTGGTTTGTAAAATACTTGAATATTATTATATAGAAAATGTGTAATTTTAGATGTAAAATTAATGGAAATAACAAAATTTCCTATTAATAAAGATAGCGAAATAAATAATAAGAGCGTAAGGAAAACGAATTTTTTCATTTTCTATAAATATAAGCTAGGGGGATTTATAAATTATAGAGAAACAAATTTCTAAATTTAATTACGCACGTAAACAATGCGTAATTGTTTGTTTTTGTATCGATAGCTGTAAAATATTTAGTGTTTCAAGAAGAAAATAGTGATATTCAATAGAATAAAAATTCAGTGTCAGTGTAAGACTTATTACACTTCGATTGTTTTCATTAAGAATTTGTTGTATCTATTGAATGCATGAACGAACACTGATAAACTAATAAATATTTAATCTATACGTACTTTAAGTAGTTATATTGTAAGTTATAAAAATATACGTATTTATTCTATTTTGCAGTACGATTATGATGAGGAAGAACAGCAATATTATGATATTGAGGTAAATTTGACATTTTTAAACATTTGAAATGCCATGAAAGTAATTATATTTTATATTTCATTATGAGATCAATGATATAATCAATTGGTAATGAAAGCAATTCAATAATGATAATGACTCGACAAATAATATTTCAATTGTCATTTCTTATTTATTAATTAATAAAAGACTTTTTAATGTTTGTTTATTAATAAAAAAAAAAATAATAATAATAATAATAATAATAATAATAATAATAATGAAAAGGATAGCTGTATTTAGTAGTGTAATACTGGGCTTAATTAATCTTTAATAAATGATCGACAAAGAATTGTCATTTAAGCTTTCTTGTATGGCAAGAAAATTGTAAATACAATCGTCGTTATTAAATTTGTTATTTTACATTTTACTTGAAATTGTCATGAGAAATTGTCTAGTAGATCGGCAAATCGCGAATTCCTTAAAATCCAATGGAAATCTTTTATTATAACCTTACTAACGAGTCATTTGAAATTTTCAGGATGAACTTTCGAGAAGATGCAGCTTATCAACGAAGGTATCCAAGTGTCCGCCAAATTTATATTTCACCGTCATTTCACCTGATACGGGGAAGAAAATTGTCTCCACCAGAAATAACACGCGAACGTTTATTCTCTGGTTCCTCTCGAATATGAATAACGCGAAGTACGATCATCTGGACGAGGAACCCGACGAGATAGTACCGCAAATTCTCATCGATCACTTCATCTTGATGGCCTCGGAAGACATCGATCAAAATTTCAACTATCATTGCGCTTATAATTTCCCGGCTGTTGTTTTGACCGTAGGCAAGGAGAATTGGTACCGACTTAAGGTAAAAATGCCCATTAAATTTTCACTATTCGTGGTTTTTTTTTTTTTTTTTTTTTTTTTTTTTTTTTTTTTTTTTATATATATATATATTTTTTTTATAACAACTTTAGACCTTAGCTGTATGTACATATTGCCTGTACCTATATAGAAATCTATTGATTATTTTATTATATAAATAGATCGTTTTTTGTTAAATCTGCTGATTATCGTAATTATCGTTCACCAACCTTATCCTCATCTTTGTCATTTGGGTGAATTAAGTAAATTGTAATCTAAATAAGATAGCGCATACGTTGATGCCGATTAGGGCTTAAAGAGTTACAAAAATTATGTTTAAGGACGCCTACCGGCAACTGTCGTGTGCAATGGCTTGGAAAGTGCGAAGTACCTTGGCCTCTGGCATCCACGAGGTCGCCATTATAATCGAGAAGGAGCACACGGCGCGCGATCTCGTCCCGATCTACAAAGACTTTATCAAAGATCTAGACGAGGTCAGAATAGGAGCCTTAAAAAATTTCTCCACCTTCCTGTCCATATTAGATCCCGAAGATCGTACGCAATTTTTGCCCAAACTCGACAGCTTTTTGATCAATGATAACAAATGGAATTGGAGACTGAAGGAGGCGTTGGTCAAGCAGTTATGTGATATTATAAATCTTTATCAGCGTCTTGAGGTGGCCCAATACATTGCTCCGTTGTTATTGCATTTAATGCAGGATACGATTGCGGCTGTTAGACAAGAGGCGCTCGACGCGGTAAGTACAAGTACTATTTTTATTTTATGCCCTCCCTACTGTCACGCGCTTATATATATAATCATTTGGATATTTCAAACGATCGATCTTGAATTTCAAGAGAATGTCAATGAAGACGTTAACGCTAAGCGCGAATAGAATATATTAATTTGCTCGCGCTAATAATCAGCCGGCAAGTTAATATAAATGATTAATCATTTATGAGAGTCAGCTAGGAATAGATTGACGAATCATAAGTGATTGGAGGTTGATTGGCATTAGCCATCGACGATCGCAAATCATTACCGTTGCATCTCGATATTATACAAATCAATGTGAATGAACTCATTGCTCATAAATGTGTGTTTGTGCGTGCGTGCGTGCGTGCGTGCGTGCGTGTGTTCTTTACGTATGTTTGTCTCGTAGGTGGTGAAGACGATAGCGTACTTGGCGTGCAACGGCGACGATCCATTAGCCATAGCGATGATCCAAGAAATGAGAGACCAATTGATGTACGCGTCCAAACGATGGGTGATAAGGCAAATCTACGCTCTTATCTGCTCAAAACTCATTAAGAGCAGGATCATCAGCGACGAAGTTTTCGCTAAAGAGCTCCTGCCCTTTTTACTCATTTTATCCCACGACAAAGTTCCTAATGTAAGGCTCGTCGTTGCTAGAACTCTGGCCAGGGATATTGTTAGAAAACGTAAGTCGATCAATGTCCTAACACAATTGTTGCTTAAGCTGCATTTTATGGTTGTTGCACCGTAGAGTGGCTAAATGTTAACTTTGATCGGATAGGATATGTCAGTTTAAGAAATGAATGTTGATTATTGCATCGATGATGCATGTCTGGCCTGTGCAATTCTCAAACTGGCTTAAGCTCTGTAAAGACTTTTTGGCCCTCGTAGCCGCTTTAGAATACCAAAAATGTCAATTTTCTCATATTATGTAACAATACCAATTAATAGAAATGTGTGAGATTGATGAATCTGTTATTGCATTAAAATACAAACGTGGCCAAAGGAACGTAATAAAAGTAAAAAAAAATTCTCTCTGTGCACGAATGAAGAGGCACGCGTGATTGCAATTTGGCCTAATTTTTTGATTTTGCTTATATGTTTGTTTAGGTAACTTTCCGGAAGCAAAACTGATGAATGAAGTACAATTGAAGTTGAAGAAAATGCAATCGGATTGCGACAGGGACGTGCGTGCCTTTGCGAAAGAGGTAGAAATCAACAAGTTGTATTAAAAGAAAATAAATAAATAAATAATAATAAATAAATAAAATAAAACAAAAAAATAAATAAAAAAAAAAACTCAAAACGCACTAGATAAATGAACAGATCGAATTTGCGTGTCAGCATAGATATTTCTTTCATTATTTCTTTTTCTTTTATTTTTTTTTTTTTTTTTTTTTTTTTTTTTTTTTTTTTTTTTTTTTTTTTTTTATGTAAAATCGTTTTTATGATTGTCTTTTCAACGTCTATCTTTTAGTTGTTAAGAAAATCAAAATGAAGATAAGCGATAAAAAAGCATGGGCGATAAGTTCGTGAGAGCGCAAAATATTATAGAAATGCGCTTGCTATGCGATTCGAATGAATTATCATCTATTTTCATTAGATTTTTTTTTTTTATCCCAAGCGACGTAAGACAATGTTAAACTGCGTTGTATCGAGACTGCTCAAAACTCATTAAGAGCAGGATCATCAGCGACGAAGTTTTCGCTAAAGAGCTCCTGCCCTTTTTACTCATTTTATCCCACGACAAAGTTCCTAATGTAAGGCTCGTCGTTGCTAGAACTCTGGCCAGGGATATTGTTAGAAAACGTAAGTCGATCAATGTCCTAACACAATTGTTGCTTAAGCTGCATTTTATGGTTGTTGCACCGTAGAGTGGCTAAATGTTAACTTTGATCGGATAGGATATGTCAGTTTAAGAAATGAATGTTGATTATTGCATCGATGATGCATGTCTGGCCTGTGCAATTCTCAAACTGGCTTAAGCTCTGTAAAGACTTTTTGGCCCTCGTAGCCGCTTTAGAATACCAAAAATGTCAATTTTCTCATATTATGTAACAATACCAATTAATAGAAATGTGTGAGATTGATGAATCTGTTATTGCATTAAAATACAAACGTGGCCAAAGGAACGTAATAAAAGTAAAAAAAAATTCTCTCTGTGCACGAATGAAGAGGCACGCGTGATTGCAATTTGGCCTAATTTTTTGATTTTGCTTATATGTTTGTTTAGGTAACTTTCCGGAAGCAAAACTGATGAATGAAGTACAATTGAAGTTGAAGAAAATGCAATCGGATTGCGACAGGGACGTGCGTGCCTTTGCGAAAGAGGTAGAAATCAACAAGTTGTATTAAAAGAAAATAAATAAATAAATAATAATAAATAAATAAAATAAAACAAAAAAATAAATAAAAAAAAAAACTCAAAACGCACTAGATAAATGAACAGATCGAATTTGCGTGTCAGCATAGATATTTCTTTCATTATTTCTTTTTCTTTTATTTTTTTTTTTTTTTTTTTTTTTTTTTTTTTTTTTTTTTTTTTTTTTTTTTTTTTTTTTTTTTATGTAAAATCGTTTTTATGATTGTCTTTTCAACGTCTATCTTTTAGTTGTTAAGAAAATCAAAATGAAGATAAGCGATAAAAAAGCATGGGCGATAAGTTCGTGAGAGCGCAAAATATTATAGAAATGCGCTTGCTATGCGATTCGAATGAATTATCATCTATTTTCATTAGATTTTTTTTTTTTATCCCAAGCGACGTAAGACAATGTTAAACTGCGTTGTATCGAGAAAGTCAATGGTATTCTCTCTCTCTCTCTCTCTCTCTCTCTCTCTCATTCTTTAATTCTTTCATTCTTTCATTCTTTCATTCTTTCATTCTTTCATTCTTTTTCTTCATCTTTCTTTTTCAATTGATGATTATTTCATCGTGACACTGGTGACGAAAGAGAGACGCGAAGAGAGTCGAATTTCGTAAGCAATATGTACCTTTTTGAAAGGAAGTGTGCTAAAGTAGAAAGCGTTTTGGAAAGGATTGGAGACGAGATAAAACAAATATTGTAATTACGCGCGTATGTGAATGTATGTGATTTTTACACAATGGTGATCATTTGTTTCAATAAGTTGTAATAGCTGATTGAACGGCGTGAGAACGATCACTCGAGATTTTTTTCATTTAATATAAAAAGGAAATCTTGTAGAATTTTCTGCGAAAGAATTGAAGGCTTGGCGATGTGCTAGCAATATTCGTGAAAAATCGCCGTATTGCCGTAACATTTTTGGCGAACTGTGTATCCCAATAGGAGAGCCTTTGATAGAGGAGCAGCAGCAGCATCAGCGCAAGTTGGAATGCCGGACAAACGTAAGCAGTTTTGCAAAAGTGATACAGTCATTAAGCTATTGTTTGCTTAATATACGCAGGGGAGAAAAACAAATAATAATAATAAAAGAATAAATAAATAAGTAATGAAACGGAAAAGCGAAGAATCAATGAAAAGGAAGAAGCGTTCGAACTCCTCTATTGCAAATATTAATTAAAATAGATGCGATATTTGAATTTATTATTTGTGATTGCTGCGGTCAACCTGTAGCTCGGGCGGCGGCGGCGGCGGCGGGTGGGGGGAGGGGGGGGGGGGAAAAGAAAAACAAAAAACAATGAGAGAATCGTGTGAAATCCATCTCTACCGTTGAGCTGAATCGCCGATTCACTTTTGAAAAACTTTTCATGTTGGCTTCTTCACCTCAACATACATTGTGATTAGATATAATAATTCTATAATTATAAAAGATTGCAAATTGTGATCCTAGAACGTTTGTTAATGCGAGACAAGTTTTTTTTTGTTTTAAGAAATAAGTTTCTCGTTCGCCGACGGTCGTTCGTTTTCAATACATTATTTGCTAAATCCGTCATTGAAATTAGCAACACCGACGTATTCCATATAGCTTATGGCATTGTCAGTGTATCAACATGCAAAAAATTAGCTTAACAATACTTTGATTTGCCCCGACAGAAAAGAAGAGAGAAAAGAAAAACGAGAACAACAAAAATAACAACAACAACAACAACAACCCGATGAGCTTTGTAGTATAACACACTATTGTATAAAATTTATAGCAATTGTATCAATGGCATTTTCAAAACTTATTGATTTAAAAAAAAAAAAAAAAAAAAAAAAAAAGAAAACAACAACAAAAAATTGCTCTTTAATAAATTGTAGTCATTCTGCATATTTACCTTAAATTTTGAAAAATTGATACATTGATATATTTATTAAAAATGTTTGTACAGTGGTATCTTATTGTAAAATAAAAACTTATTGTACTATAAATTTGGATTTTAAGTGTCTACAATTACATCTGTATATTGATTTACCGTCAATAGATAGAGAATTTCGTCGCAAGGGATCCACGTTGGATATCCTAGGTTGAACTCACCATCGCCAATCCACAGCAATTACCTTCATTTCGACACATAACAATAATAATAATAATAATAATAATAATAATAATAATAAGTGGCATCACATCAAGCATATTTCTCGAGACACCAGACTACACCGACCTCTTGTCTCCTCTACAACCTTCCGCCCCATTATCGCCTACGCCTCTCCTCTCGTCTCTCGCGACGGAGCTTCGATCGACTCATCTCCAAAGAGGAAGTAGGATGCCGAAAAACTACCAAATCCTCGACTAGAGTTGACCGTTCATTTCGAGCATTTCGTTAGCGTAGGCAAGTGAACGTTGGAGATGTTAAGTTGGGTGCGCGTTGAACGCGAAAATGCCAATGTCTTGATGCTCATGGGCCTCGGATTGGGACTGGTAGATAGGTAAAAGGGGGCATCATAATAATATGCATTGATAGAGACGAGCGAGGATACAGGATACTTGGGTAAAAATATTCTAAATACAGTACTTTCGAGCATTTGCATTCGATGTAAAGTTAAGCGAAACGAGAAAGTATGGAGGGAACATCAACGACGTTAATACATTTTCACGCGAAGGTCCATCAATTTTTGGCTTTTTACGGTAAACGATTGAAAAGAAAGAGGAACGCGATCTATACGGGATACTTTCTGTCCATTTTACTTTTTTTTTTTTATCTATATTATAACTGGTTGTATAATAATAAATAGTGTTCAGTGTGAGAGTAATGTTAGTGGAGTTGAATTGGAATTATCGGGCCAAAAACTCGAATACGAGGACTTTGTAGTCGTATTATTCCACGTTCTTCTTCCCCCCCCCCCCCCTCCGGCCCCCCCCCCCCCCCCCAATCGGTCCCTCAATTACTTTTCCAATTTAACGATGCAAGAACTTGGTAAGAGCTTCTCGTTAGTAAGCTTTTAGGCGCTATGATCGATCGGTGAAAATTCGCGCGCACAGTTAAAAGTCGTGGACTTTTATTAATAAAAGACACTCCTCCTTCTCTCCTCCACCCTCCCCCCCCCCCCGCCCCCCCCCCTCCCTCCCTCCCCCCGCTCACTACCGCCGCGGAAAATCATCACTACGTATAACTTTCAAATATCGGTAGACACAGTGTTGGCAATAATTCGAGTCAGTTGTCGTCGAGCAATAGCTTTATCCCAAAATAATGAGTAATAATCTCGTAATTAATTATAGCGCGTTGCGAGCTTTTATAAGATTTTAATTAATCAATTGACATTCTACTTTCAACTTTATAGTTTTAACGATAGAGGTCGTACGACTAGCTACGCTTTTACGAAATTATTTTACAATATATGTATCTCAATACCATTCTAAAGTCCCTTTTGTATTTTATAGAAAAAGAGGGATACTTACTGTACAATATTATGTAATGAAAGCACAGTATATAGAGGCGCGCGCGGGCACAGTTGTAAAGCAACGTTACTTTCTTACTTCGTCGTGCTTAATAAACGGTTATTAAGAGACTGATTTTACAAATCGATAGGCCCGTTTATTTTCGTTAAGCGATGGAACGTTTAGTGGTAGGTGGTAAGTGGGAGGGAGTGAATAAGATCTTGTAAAATTCATAGTTTTAAAAAGTCCTCGTTTGGATAATAAGTGCGCCGTTGTTAAAAGATAGTTGAATAATATTACAGCGCCGAATAACGAATAAATAAACAACAGCGGCGCACCCGACTAACTTAATAACTGTTTGTGCTCGTTCGAAAAGCTCATTGACACTAAAAATTGGCTTTAAGCAGTACATTACCCATGAATTAAACATACGCTCGGTTATCCCATCCTTATGCTGCTCCCGGATGGGCTATTATAGCATTGTGGATGAAGGTGTTGTTGGTCGTTTGGTTGGTTGGTTGGTTGGTTGGTTGGTTGGTTGGTTGGTTGAATGATTGATATCGACGGGGAGTGGACACTCCATCTATCTGGGCTTGTTTTAAGGTGAAAAGTGTTCGTTAAAGATTGTTTATGCGCCGAGTGACTGTACTTTCATCGAACGGGTTGTATATCGATCTCGCGTTATTGTCATTGATAATCGTTAAATATTTTCGAGCAATGAGGTTTGAGCATTATTATCGGACGACTGCGCGCTCGTTAAAATGTGAATATTCCGCGAAATGGACGTATGATATGGTTCAGCTATGTATATTATGTACTTGCTAATTAGTAAGAAAGAAATAAATAAAACTCCATGTGGTTTGTTACTAAATTTTGCTTTATTTAATCCAATAACCCTCAAATTTTTCCTCTCCCCATGCTTTTACTCGAGAGTCTGCCCGTTAAATTTTCTTTTTTATTATTTAATAATTTCGATTAATCATCGTGCGTACTTACACCTAACATTTTTTTCGGCTCATACGCATTCGCACATCATCATATGTACACGCAATGGATAACACACACGCGTGGACGGACATAAAAGAGCCATTGAAAGATAGAAATAGAGGATTTTGATTAGATGCGTTGCTGTAATATTGAATGGTACGAAGATTAATTGTTATTTTTCTTTCGCCATTAAGCAAAATTTTTTTTTCCTCGTATTATCATTATGATTTTTGCTGTGCTATAGTTTAGAGTTCAAAATGCTTTTCCGTCGTTATTTAAAAGATTTATGTAGTTATGAAAGAAAAAGAAAAGAAATAAAAGAAAAAAAGACTGGCTAATTAATGCAAAATTCGGCTATTATTTTTCAAAGATTTACAGAATAAATACGTTCCATAAGTTTTCGTAAGTCGAATGATCCGATTATATAATCACGTTTTTATCTCTATCCGCAATAAAATTAATTCCTTAATATTATACGATATTACAGTATATGCTGATCATTGATGTATCTCTTCGATCCTATTTACTTAAATCATTTAAATGAAAATTCCTGAAAAAATATTCTATTCAAATATTTATTTCATCTCCGATAAACTCAAATGACTTAATTTACCGTATATCTATATAATTATATCTATAGACATTGTCAAGTATTATTATTTCATTACCCATTAATGCGAGTACTTTCATTGGTACTTTTCTTCTTCATCGTACTATTTTAATTTTCATTCTCGGAACAAAAACAAAAAAAAAAAAAAAAACAAAAAAAACAAGACAATAATGCCGACAGCACGATAATAGCAACGCAAAAACATTTTTTTTTTTTTTTTGCTTCCGTTAAACAATCAAAGAGAGTTAAGGTACATTTATGTAATCGTTATTCTCAAAATGAAAGAACTTAAAATTTCGGAAAAGTTTGTTGATTTTATTTTGTTTTTGGGTTTTTGCTTCAATATACCCACCTGTATACTTCTTGCGATGTACAGTACTTACCTACAGTATTTTCTTAAAAATCCAAGGAAATGAGAGAATGAGAGGTAAGATATGGGTTAGATGCAATTGCATCAAGTGCAATAACAATATCAAGATGAAAATTCGCAATGTAAATCACTATGATAGTCGTTGTGTCGAATTAAGGAAAGAATAACGTAATTCAGTTGGATGTTCATAAAAGCGGCCTTCGGTACTGTTTTTTCTCTTTCTTTTTTTACTATTACCAAATGGTACAAAATGTTACCGAAGCGTTTGGCAAATAAATTTGCAGACGTGACGATAGAGGAAACACAGAGGCCGAAGGCTTCTCTTACTCCACCATACTCATTAAATGCTATTAAATACTATTAATAGTTTATTTGAATTTTTCCGTTCTTTACTGTCGTTCATTTTTTTTTGTTTTTTGTTTTTTTTTTTTTTTTTGTTTTTTTTTTTTCTTTCTTTTTTTTCTGTTGTTCTTTTCTTTGCTTTTTGCTTTTATCTCTCTTTCTTTTATTATTTTGCTTCTTTTTTCTTTTTTTTTTTTTCGACGATGCCTGAATTAACATTAGACATCGACTACGCGAAACAAAAGGCTAATCTTTGAATTTCTATTGACTGTATCTAATATTTTGCTAATGCCATTAAATTATCATTATGTTACAACTATTTACTATAGCTTAATATCTCTAAAATTATGGTATTACGTAAGGAGCTAATATTCCTACCTATTACTTATCCAAATAATGTTTTTATATTGAATCGTCAATTTTTTCGAAAGTCATGGGCAGTGCCGAAACTATATGATACGCACGAGTTAACAGTAAGTACTACAACAATAGCTTACAATAACCTTCAGGTTCATTGGAAACCAAGGTTTCGTAACCAGTATGACCGAGGGTTATCATTATAATTAATTATAATTATCATTAATTATCATTATCATTATCATCATCGTTGTCATTATTATTGTTATTATTAATATTATTAGTTGGAAGAGGGGCAGTGGTGAGCTTTGGAGTATTGCGTTAATGGGGGACCGAGAAAAGTCTCCTGCTCATTGCTCTAATAGTGACCGCAAACATCCAAAGTTAGCTCTCCCACCCACCCACTCATCCCCTCCAACCGCCCAAAAAGCCTTATACACAACTTAGGCGTCGAAGAGCTATTATAGCTCGGGTACGGATAAGCTAAAGTGGCCCGTAAGGGAGTTAACAGAGGGTCGATGAGCCCTCTTAAATCTAGGATTAATGACTAATATGATAGGAAGTTGGTCGGACAGCCGGGGAAGCGGCAGAGGCGCTCCTCGTGCTGGGCGACGAGTTCCCCGCAATCTCGGAGACAATGTCGAGTTCGGCTACGATGGCCCCGGCCGCAGGTGACGCTGCAGCTGGTCCAGGAGGTCCACTGGTCCCAGTAGGGTTGCTGATAGGGCGCGATGACGCCCCGATGACCGTCAACGAGATACCGCGACCTCATCGATTCTGCGGACAGGTGTATTCTGTTTATTACCGTAACAATCCCCCCCCCCCACACACCCCACCCACCACGTGCGAGCTTTTTTTTCTCCCGCAGAAGAGACAAGAGTCTCGTTGAGTTATTTTTTATTATCGTCGATAGGATTTTCAGTTTCATAATTGTACTTATCTACGCGTGAATAATCAAAGTCTTTGGCCTTTTCAATTATCTCCACTGTTTATTCGTTATATCATTTTGTAAAAAAAGATTTAGAAAAAAAAAAAAGCCAACAACCATACCATATAATTTTATAGAAGTTCGTTTCACTTTTATTTATTTACAAATTTTAAGCTCGATTTGTTTATTATGTCGTTATAGATGTCGCTATTGTTGCTGTCACCGTCGTTTATTATTAAACATTATTTTTATAATTAATGGTGATAATAAAGCTGGTAGAGTAGCTCTTTTTCCTACTTACTTTCGTTAGAATTAAGCTGCCGTTGGTTATTCGTGGGACTTTTCACTTTGGACATGGCACTATGTAAGCTCTCCACCTTTATTGAAAATATCAATTTTACAAATGCAAATATTAATCGATAACATTCATTCGTTTTTCATATCCAAGGTATATGCTTGTACTTATCGAGGCAAATACTTGAATATAAATTACCGATAATATACCCTAATATGATGCGTGATATATGTGCGTCCCTCTTTATCTTACTAAATAAACGCTACTGTAATTGCTACAAGACATTGCGAGAGCAAATTTTTTAATCATTGATGAAAAAATGATTATTTGCATTTCACTTTCATTCAATTGTCACGCGCTTATGACGAATCCACTTAATTATCAATTCTATTATCAGCAGAATTTCGCAATGTTAAAGTAATTAGACATAACGAGCAACAGCATTTCTCCTCGATGCGAATACCCTTAACATCGAGTTTAGCAATGTTAATTGTCGCAAGGTCGCGCGATAATGTAATAAATTAATTGCATTAACCTTTGCAATCGTCTGTCCGAGTAAGCTCCTCAGCTCTCTAATATCATTTTTATTAATTTTCGCCAAATTATGTAGGTCCCCCTCGTCATTCAACGAAACGACGTTGTGGAAAAGCTGCGAATCTTTCGCGGATCTCTCAACGGTCGCCATCTCCACTGAATTTCCATAATTTCCATAATTTCCATAATTTTCATTTGTCCTTCGCCTGCCCATATCGCTTAATCCTTTTATTTCCTTTACCAGATAGTCCTCGTCATCCTCCTCGCAATATTCCCCACTGGCTTTTCGATCAGTTGCCTTTAATCTCGAAAGTTCAATTTTATTTTCAAAAGCATTGTCGTGAATAATATTTGAATCGTCGATTGTTACCGATGATTTACTCATTCGACGATCGTTTCCGACCTCCCGCGGCCAGCTCGAATCCTCCACTCGTCGATCAAAAAGTCGACTCAACGCGTCTCTGTCTCTATTAGCTCCCAACCGTTTCCTCGATAATGAATCCGACCTCGTTTTATCCTTTATTAAATGTTGCCTCGGCATACTACCTTTCACCTCGTAAGGATTATTTATACTACGGATTTGATTAATCCTCGCGCTATCTTTTGTCCTATCATTCGGTGCTGCTAATCGTTCGTTTTCTTCTCGAAGAAAGCTCGGGTAGTCTTCCTCATTTGGCAATAATTTTGTATCCTTAGTCGAAAGTTGAGTTTTTCCTTTCACTGTGAAGAAATAAAAAAAAAAAAAAAAAAAAAAAAAAAAAAAAAAATAACGTTTTTATTACGAATGATTTATAGGTAAAATAAAGAATTATCGTGAAAGCCAAGTGGACTTTGCAGCTCCGAGCTGGAAAATCATATTAAAAATATACGAAATGGCTTTAACTAGTTTTCCTCAAAATAGTTATTGTTCAAAATATCGTCAACGAGCGTGCGTCGTCAGCTTACGTCAACATTTTTAAATAATAACGTCAAACGCTTAAGATTTTTCTATCTACCGTTCTCGTTTTATGCGTCAATTATTAATATAAAGTTTATATATATATATGTGTTAGAGGAGTATATTCCGTTACGAGCTTATATTTCTAATAAAATAAGAAAACAATGGTTGATATACGGTTTTATTATATTATTGTATATTTTAACTTATTAAAAGGATAAAGGATAAATTACATTGGTCTAGGCTTGGAATGTTGGTATGAATTGTCGTGATAATCGGCATCGTTGGTGTCGTAGTTACTGACGCCCTCGACTTCCGGTCCGTTCATCCGACGCTCGTCTTCCCGACCCGGCATATCCTTCTTGTCCTCATCCTCGTCCTCGTAATAACTCTCGTTTCCATTCTCATAATCGTCCTCGGCGCACGTATCTTCGTCGTCGTTGTCGTTGTCGTCGTGCTCCTCCCGTTCTTCCTCACCTTCGTATCTCATTTTCCTGATTAATTCGTAAATATCTGACATACGGCTCAAATGATTCGACCATCTAAATTTGAGATCATGTTGATTTTATTGAACTCACACCGCGATTCTTTCGTTTCATCCTGCACTTTCCGATGAATTTTAAGCGCTCGTTACAATATCGATAATCAATGAGCTTTTGGGCAGGGGAACTTTTATTTTTAAAATGTAAATTTAAAGTTCGGAACGAATACATATTATTAAGCTTCTTAACGCTAAAGTAATCAATAATTTTGTTGCTTTATATTACATTTTATTTCTATTATTGCGACATTTATTGTACAATATTCTTTGTAAAAGAAGATTTTATCAAGTTTATCTTATATTCGTTCGTCTATAAATGCCGTGACACTTTACATTATTCTCGAATTAAAATTAGCAGCTTGTAAGCCACAAATTTAGAATATTAGGAAAATAAATTGTAGGATATTTTGATGCAATCGAATAACGATTGATACTTCCTGCAAGTGGAATAATTTTTTCTGTCTCACTAGGTCTACCTTTGCTCCTTAATCACTTAGTATCTTATATTAATTTTGCAATTAAAGCGACAAATTACGTAATTTTATATTGCCATTGATTATTATGAATTTTCCATCCAATGTTGATATATCGTGATTATTCGACAACATCGGTTCTTACATTCTTCTCGTTCGCCCTACTTTCCTTTCTATATTTACCTATCCTCCTTCTCATTATAGCGGCTTGATTTTTCTGGATAAATGTCTTTAAAGTCGCGTTTTCGGGAAAGCTCGTTGTTTACCACTGCTCTCGGCATCTCGATCTCTTCGTCTTCGTCGAAAGCACGAGAATAATCGGCTTCGTTCTCGTTCGCTCGGCTTTTCTTCGCGATTGCGAATCTTTTGAAAATCTTTCGTGACGCGTCACGGTGACCCTTGAAAAGAAATCTTAGGTCTTTATCGTAAAATTAGGGACTTTCAGCCAAAGTCAAAGCTATATAGTTTTAACGACTGGAATATATAAGCCAATGTGACCAATATTTCATCAAATATTAATTATTGGAATTTTCTCGCAAGCGTTGAAAGCTGAGCTTTGAATTGAGCGATGAGTTTAAATTCTGTAAACGATATAGGCAATTGTGCATATGATAAATCAATCGATCGAACAATCAATGATGTGGCGCAGTGCCGAATTAGGAGAAAGATGGCTCGTTACATCCTTGAAAAACTTTATTTTTTTTATTTGCACAGGCGACGATTACGTACGATTACGTACGATTACGTACGATTACGTACGATTACAATTACGGATTATAAGTTACATTCCGTCGACATTATGTTTAAAAAAACAAATTATTAAAATACACGCGGCCGGCTGGTATTGTATGTTATTAAGGATAAACCCCGTTAAAACTACCTTGTAATTGCATTGAGAAAATTAAATTTTGCCTTAACCGTCTCTTAGCTTGCAAAGCTACATTGATTCATCATAAAATTTACGTTAAGAAAATCCAATTTCTTGGATTGCATTTGCGAATTTGTCATTTGTCATTTGTCATCACCAAGCCACATTAAGCTTGTTCGACACTCTCTGGGCTCGTTGTCTCCCATTAAATCAGCCTTTCCAGTAAGAAAATAATTTGACAAAATATCGCGTCACACATTTCGAGTAAGCACAAAGCATTTGGCATACTGTACGGAGAGAGGATGACATTTCATGCGACGGAATCTCGATTGCTTCCGGTGGAGAATCGAATAGATCGGGGATTCGTTTGACGCGCTGACGGGGATCGTAAGAGTCGGAATTAATTAAAGCTTCCGGATCATCGAGGATTTCTGGACCACTTATCAGCGGCAAGGTCTTTGGCTGGGCCTGCTTCTTGTTCATCGAGTTCGGCATTGCAAAATTACTACCTGTAAATCAAGGTAATCCATTAATTATAATCATTATAAATGGGCAAATTGTTTTATCAATCGTAACTTCGATGGCTTAATATATCGCGCCGTTATGTTTTAACATTTTAATTGGCCAAAAGAAGCATAGCTGCGTTGGGCATGAGCTATTGACTTATTGGCCCGTACGTTGAATAAAATGTAAATAAAACTTTTTAAAGGGGAGTGAGTCGAAAGTGAGGGGCCGTGTAGTCCCAGTCGTTGGTGAATCGATCTCGCAATTTTCATTCGAGTCATTCCCATAATCGACGCGGAAAAACAATTGCAATCGATAATGCGTACGACAAATCTGCAGGGGGAATTTTCGAATATTTAGTAATAAATTGGTGTCATATCGTACGTAGATGTAAGAGTCCCAAGAATATGGAACATGCATTATTCACATATAAACGTTCAATGTAAAAAGTCACTCGATAAATAGCAATAAATATAAATATAAAACATTATATATATATATATATATATATATATATATACATATAAAGAAAGTAATTGTTATAAAAAGAAAAATAGACGAAAGAAAAAAGAATCTTCTAACATGTTGTGAATTTATTGTAACCAAGTACAATTATTTGTCACGTTGAGCAGTGCGCCGTAAGAGAAAATAATAAGGACCGATGAATTTCGTAAAAATTTTATGTCCACTCGAGACTTGCTCAAGCTATATATAACCTATTCATGCAAATCTATTTAACAGCAATTGCTCTGCATTATTATATTTTCTTAATAATAATACAGTGTCTCCTTATATTATACGTCAATATAATATATAAATATATATATATATTTAGAGAGAGAGAGAGAGAGAGAGAGAGAGAGAGAGAGAGAGAGAGAGAGAGAGAGAGAGACAATGAATATCATATAGTCAATAGGATGGAGTCAAGTGTTGGATGGATCGCGACTGTAATCTTTAAAAAAAAAACAGTCGTACACGCACTTTTTCTTTATCAAATAAACTCTAAGTAATCACAAGCCGGGATATCTTGAAAACGAAGAGGTAAACTCGCGCACACAAATGCCACTGTACGAGATCGAAATCGATATTAGCGTTCGCCACGAGCGCACATAATCCATTTATAAAAGTGTCCTAATCCCAATTTGGGGGGGGGGGTAAACTCGTACGATTAGAGATTGCGCATTGTCGTTGCAAAAGCCAAGGGTCGGGTGACTTCAAACGCAACAATGCCAAAGGCACAATCGACGAAAATTCCGCCTCTTACAATTTTAGAAGCATTTATAAGAGCCAAGAGATGCGAGAGAGGTTATGTTGAACATAACAAAAATTAAAGCCTAAAGCGCTTCTCGTCGCGTCGCGTCGCGTCGAATCGCGCGTTCCGATCGTCATTCTCCTTCAGTCGTCCCACCCGTCATCCTTCCCCTTCGCCACGGGTCTGCGCGGTCGCCATGATCGGCCCGGTCGCCACCACAACGTAGCGTGACACAACTGTCCGATGAATGAGTAAGGACGAGGCGAGCGACGGTGATGCCTAGGAGAGGCTTTCGGGGACGTAGTTTTACCGGTGTCGAGCCCTGGCCGGGCCGGGAATGGAGTACCGCCGAGAGTATTCCGGCGCAGCTCGCCGACGGCCTGGATGACGCCCGCGACAATAACGAGCCAGGCGATCGCGAGATCCCGCGGTCGCAGCCGACTTCTCGGCATTGTCGGCACGGGGAACCCGAGGCTGCGCCATCGGATTGACGTCGCGACATTTGACGTCACCTGACGTTCGCCCCGAGTCGACCCTACGCTGTCTTCGCGGACTCCGTCGTGTTCACTCGATCATTGAGCTGACGTGCTCGATCTTACGCGGATAGGCGGACTAACGTCGATCGCCGTGATATTTGCCAACCGGGACTTTCTCAAAGATTTTAGCGAGACGCGTTTGGCAAGCGCATTCAGGGCATTAAAGATTGGGAACGAATGAATCCTTCGGGCTTCCACTATACCAGCGTCCGCTCGACTCGTCAATCTATTCGCTTAATCCGAGGAATAATGAGAGAAATGCATCGGTGCGGTGTGGCAGGTCGACGATGACGACGTAATGTCTACCCGTTGTACAGGCTGCGATCGATCCGATGTCCTTTGTAAATCTACGTAAGAGAATTATCATGGTGAAGCCCACCTTAGCCGCTATTTTGCCCAAGCATGAACAATGCATAAAAGCAAAAATCATAAATATACATAATAAATAGATTTCTTCTATTAAAGATTCATTCGATATCGATATGATTGTCCAAGTTTGCAATTTGCTATCGATCCTTCGCATTATCGTCGGCTATATTTGCCAAACTATCCTCGTCTCCTCCTTCCAATAGTCTTGCGTACATATTGTGCTGCAATATGACGTAGCGCAGATAAATAAAGCAGACGCTGAACTTACAATCGAAGATCCAGCATTCGATCAATTTTACCATTCTCTCTCCCGGTAGATGTATGTAAAGAGATCGAGACTTTTTCGCTCTTCGTCGTTAAAATCATCAACAAAAAGCATCTATCATTTTGTTTTTTTTTTTTTTTTACGAATAGTACTTTTTAACTCGTGACACCCGTACAAACATTTGTCGTTTGTTTTTCTTTTTGTTTTTTTCTTTCACATCGACACACACGCATACATGCATTTCCAAAGGCGCAAGCGCCTGCTTATTGGCTTCATTTAAATGATCACCACTCCACTGTTGGTTCCTCCTTCAATACAACTCCAATCCACCGATCCACATGTTTAAATTTATTGCACAAGTACGCATATATAATAATAATAATAATAATAATAATAATAATAATAATAATAATAATAATAATAATAATAATAATAATAATAATAATAATAATAATAATAGGTTTTTTTCGGTAATTTCATAGTTTGTATATTGTCCTAGGATCGTTGTATTGCAATTAGCAATAGGGTTGACCGGTATTATATCGGATAATTATACGGGTTGATTGAAATTGAGGGCAAAAAAAAAAAAGAAAGAAAGAAAGAAAAACACGAAAAAAACAGGGAAAGAAATAATAAAGGTAGAGTGTAGATGCAATAGTAATTAGTGAGAAATGCTGGGACTTCTTTGATAAAGATGATAAATTGTTCAAAATAATATGAAAGATCGATGATAACTAGGCATTTAATAATATGACATTCATAAGCGTATTAAACGAAAGAAATTGGCAATTCCCAATGGTATTTGTTTATTTTTCTACGATAATAATATTCTAAGGTGAATCTTCAGGATTTGTTAATGGCATTAGATTGTCTAATGTCGCTGCAACTCTGATAACTAAAAATAGAGGACAAAGAGAACAAATATTATTCTACATCGATTTGTAATTAAGATATTTCCTTGCCATATATCCATATATGGCAATTATTATGTAAAAAATTCTTGTTGCATGAAATGTTTGATTATCTGATTGAAAAACGCTATTATCAATTTTTGTAAATAAATTTTTTACATTTGAATTTCGAAAAAAGTTAAGCATATTTCATTTAATATAATGAAAAATCGATGCAGTAGAATATTACATTATTACTAATAAATTTATTTCATTATTATTCATTAGTTTAAAACCAATTGCATCGAAATAATGTTTATAATTAATTAGCCAAGAGCCTGTTGTCTTCATTGATTACTCGAAGCCACGAAATCGAGCTTCGGTTATGAAAATTTTAAAATCTTCTTCGTATCGTACACGGATTATTCATATTATTTTCACTTGGTATTTATAAATTTTCATCAATTTCTAATATTTCTAATCATTATTTTCACGTAAAATCAATTATAATTTTACGCTATTCCTCGATTGCTAAAGTTAATTGTTAATCGCGTTATTCAAAAATCCTTTGGAATAATAGTTGTTTTTTTTTTTTTTCAACACATTCATTGTCAATATTAACGACTGATGCTAAATTTTCATAGCAATTAAAAAATTCACTTATTAAAACAACATTTGAAGAAAATATTTATCCAATGTAAGATATGCAAATCTTATAGTTTCATTATTCCGTTTAAATGAATCAGTTTCGAATGTTAATTTCGAAATTAATAAACATTGTTTATAAATAAAACGACTTCGCGCTAAAACATAATTCCTGATATGATCTCTATTTATAAATATCTTGATATTTTATGTAACCATGTTTATAAATAAATTCTTTGTATCTTCTTTTTGAATTGATTTCGAATGAGCAGTGCTGCCAAGCAACCATAACGATATTCCATGTTGCGTAAAATTCGTATTTTTATCATGGTAACGCCTCTATTCTTGATAATGAGAGTAAAATTTTCCTAATTATTATGTATTATTGGCTGAAGGTATAAATCTAAATATTTTGTCAATTTTCGAGTTAGTATTTGCAACTGTTTAACTATTCTCCAACTTCTCCGATACATTCAATGCAAAAAGTGTTTCGCATCTTTCTCAACATACTCACTTATAAATAAATCCTAATGCAGTAACAACAACAACAACAACAGCAACAACAATGCAATGGAAATTCTTTTATTTATTCAAATTAAATCTTGCGTTTAGGGAATTGTGTTGTAGAGAAATGTCTGTATGATGTTCACAAGATTATTTATGCATTATGTAGTTGGTTAGGTATTTGATCGTCCAACTAAGAAATTCCGCACAATTATCTCCCAATTGTTAAAAGAAACAACTATTAAATTATTATGTAAATTATATCACATTTTTCAGCTGATAATGCGGCCATTGTCTTGCCTCGAACTTTCCCTTTAACTAATCCATAATAACATTCACCGTACTTGTCGTTTATCTCGATAGTGTGGCAGTGATTTTATCGAAAGTCATGAATCAGCAATATAAGCAACCTTGATTCGTATGTCCTTCAATTGCCTTCAACAATAATACTTCGGAGCTATTAATGCGCCTGTGTTTTTGTGCCGAATTTCGACAAACGTGCCATTAAACACGCGATTAATAGGTGAAAAAAATATATTTTTCACATATGCCAATCGACTCATTTTTATTACCATGAATATTCAAATTTTGTATTATATTGCCAACTTATTGTTTGGTAGATTTTCCAAATAAAACAATCAATCTTACAATTACATTCAATTATCTCACTTCACTTGGTTCATTTTGCCTTATTCATGCTTAATCATATCAATTTCAGTCGGATGTCTTTATCCACTAGGAATAAATGAAAATGTCTGTGAATCTTGAATTTTTCCACGATTCCCGTATATTTTTATCGAATATATTTGTAAATGTTACATGGTTATTGATTTAATTGTTGAACGTAGTTGAAAAAACTTTGGATAAATACTATTAATCTATATATATATATATATATATATTGTGTTTGTCTCATAATTCACGGCTTTTAACGTGACGTACTGAACTTGTTTCGCCAATTCTCGAACTTTTTCCTACAAAATCGTCGCTAAAGCTTCGTCATATTTTCGTTTGCATTTTATCGTGACACGGCATTTAAAAAAATCAATAAAATAGCGTATGATCTTCTCATGAAATTTTTTGTTATCGACAGTATGCATACTGGGCTTAATAATTATTATTATTAATACTGCTTAATAATGCTTGATAATGTAAAAAAATTCAATTAATTATTGTTATTTTAACGTAATGAAACTTTATGTTCAGCAAAGATAAATAAACATTGTAACACCGAATCATGTAAATCTCGTTGTGTCCATGATCACGAATGAAATATTCTTCGATGTAAAATTAATCAGCGAAATGGAATAAATTTTGTGTCGATTATACAACGTCAAGGTGGCATAAAAATCATTGAAATACACATATTTCCATTAACGAGTATCTTATTTAGCCTTCTAAATAATTAATGCGCAGCGATCATAACCGATACATACAAGTAGTTAAAGAATTATTTAAAAAAAAATAATACCCACTATTATTATTAGATGGGGAGAAAAATGAGGTTATTTTACTAAATCTAAAATACATTCGATATATAAATACATACACACGCGTACGCATATTTATTTATTTACGTTCTACGTGATAAAAAGAAAAATATCCCTCTTGTCATCCTGTAGGTATGAAAAAATCTTATCGAAGTAATTTGATCCAAGTACTATAATTGATTAATTTACTTAAAATACAAAATCCGTTAATTATTCCTCATTAAATACACGAATTAATCGTAAAATTGATAATACGAATGAGCAAAATAACTATTTTCGCAATGTCCAAGTACTATTTTAAAGAAGAAAAAATCCCATTAGTTTGTCAGCTGTCCACGTTGTTTGAGATACGCCAGTCTTATCGACTAGACGTCGATGAATTATTTTATTATGATCGGAAAAATTAATTGCTCGTACGTAAGCGGAAAGCTTTTCTGCATTTCCTTTCAGCCGGAGTAAATATTCATACAATATTAAGTGTAATTTACGTGCATGATATACGAGAAAAGCTTACCTGATTAAAACTGATTAGGAAGGAGAATAGGGGAACAGTGCTATTGAATGATTGAATGTCGGTGTGAAAAATTCTTGAAAAGGGCCACAGACAAGGTGCTGTCGCCTAGGAGAAATGTCGTCTATCTTGAGATTAACCTTTAGCAAATAAAACCAAAATTCATCCAATGCAGCCTTGTCATTTGCATGCGATTAAGGATTGTCAACCCCCCCCCCCTCTCTCTCTCTCTCCCCGCCTTCCCACCCTCATGACAGTCACCATTGTATTGTTGATCGACGAAATCGGGATTCTATCGCTATCACGTTCCACTTACCGACTGCTCGACTTTTACTTCCGTATTGCCCACTAATGGACATTTAATTATACCGAAAATAGGTAACTTTCGAATCCTACCAATCTCTTTCCAAGCCATTTCCAAACTAAATAATTACATCCACTGCCAATTATTGTCCTGACAATTTACATTTTTAAACGCTGAGTTTGTAAATTTCATTATAACTCTTACCCGCTCTCGCTCTATGACTTCCTAACTTCCAAATTTTCCTAAATCTTGTATTTACGAGGTTTTCAAATCGGCATTGAAACGTGAAATTTTTACATTCTGCGCTGACGGAACCTGGTTATTACGATTTTTTAAATTCAATCGCCACCCCCCCCCCTCTCTCTCTCTCTCGACGATATTTCAAACAAACTTACCCATATATTTTTGTGTCAACAGTTTTAATAAGCATGACGCTAGAATACTATGACAGGTGGAGATAATTGCTTTTAATTTTATGTGAACGTGTATTAAAGCCGTAGCGCGTATACTTGTCGGAGTCATAATATTAACGAGACTGAAACAGTACAAATTTCCGGATCCGATCTTTATCTTCAAGACCTTTTCTCCGAAGCGTCTAATAAATCGTCAAATTAAGAGATAAATAAGCCGACCGATGTACGTAACGAGATTTCTTTACAACTATTTTAAGTTATTAATTGCCGCAATCAGCGCGCACGACGTAGAGGGAAGGGTTGTATTGCAACTCGAACGATGAACATAAAGATATGGCCAAAGCCGCGAAAACAAATGAAAACTCGAGGAGTTTACTGCGAATTACGAAAGCTCCTTAAATGCTGCGAGACCGACTGCGCAATGTCTTCATTCATTATTTTTTCACGCTCTATCGTCGATATTAGACTAACGTAGTGCACGAGATTACGAGAGCATGGGATGACACATAATAATAATAATAATAATAATAATAGCGAGGCGCATGAGGGCGGGGGAAGCTTCGTTTCGCAAAGCCATAGAGAAACACGGAATTGCGAATTGAGCCCGCGATGTCCGAGTCACGAAGCGTCCCAACCGGAAGATCCGTGATCTTGCTACTTCTTCGTTGGGGAACTTTGTGGGAGATTCTCTCATCGTCAAGACGACGTGGTCGAGAAGGATGACGTTGGAGGGGGATGGATATGGGGATGACGCGGAGCTTGACGAGGGTACCGTTGTAAAATAGCTAGAAGAAGGATAGGAGGACAAAGCAAATGAGACGAGGCTCGAGTTGGGTGATGCGGATCGAAGTGTGAGTAAGTCAGTGACGAGGAGCGAGAAGTCGTCATTAGCTTTATCGACGAATTGCAAATTAAAATTTATTGGCCATCTCAAATGATTCGGTGCATCTCTCATTCTTCAGTTAGCTCGGAGCTCAAAAAAAAAGAACAAGAAAAAAAAACAACACGGCACGATAAATCTACGTTGATAACGTCAAGGCTGACGGTGAATGGGGGTATTGGGGGGATTGGGGGATGGGGGGAGGGAGATGAATCAGAGGCGAGCACGCGTAACTATTATGCAATACTTCGGTGTGTAGACTTGTAAGCGACAATTAATGCCAATTGAATGAATGGCCGACGAAAAGTCCCAAGACTTTCCAACCAACGAATATCAGAGTAATCACAAGCTCTTCCCTTCCCTGACATAATGGGATGATTTAATGAATTCTCATTCAACGATACTTTCATATATTTAATTTTAATCAAAAGAATAAAATTTGAGATTGAATTTTAATGTGTAATTTTTATAAAACGATTTGAATCTTCGAGCGCGATACAGAAAAATAATATATATATATGTATATACATGAAATTACAATTACCAATGTATATAATACCGAGCTTGTAGATAAGTGTATTTGTAAAACAATAAAATTAAATGTTTAACACACGTATTATTTCATATTTAAAACGTTTTGTGTTTTACATTTTTAATAATAATAAAAATAAGCTGTTTTCTTTTTCATTTATTTTTGTAATAATTTAAACAAACATCTTTCCTTATAAAGTATTTATATGCCAATGTTGGATATTTGCCAATTTATAAATATAGAACGGTGAATTTGCTTTCAATAAATTTATTTTGAAAACAAGCTTCGATAAAACAAAAAAAAACTCAACGAACGTACTCTCCAAATAAAATTTGTCTAATTTCAAATCGATTGAACAAAAAAAAAAAAAAAAAAAAAAAAAAAAAAAAAAATCAATTTTTACAATTTGATTCATTATTAATTTATGTACAATGTCAAATGTTCATCATGGGTGCGTGAACTTTTACATACCGTCGTACAATTGTATGTTTAATTAACAATTTACATGTGCCGTCTCGAGGTGCTAATAGCGTATATACGCAGTACGTATATAAGCTCTCAATAATTCAAAATAAATCATAAAATAATATGTACGTTCTACTTTATATAGTTTTTTCATATTTTTTTAGTATTATGTTTGATATTTTTTCCCCCATTTTTTATTTATTTATTTATTTTTTTTTTTTATTGATTTTCAATCAATCATTATATATGGCTCGAGACGAGCGAAAAACTAAATAAACGAAATGCTGCGTTATAGTTGTGTATCCAATGCAAAAACTCTATGTACGTTTTCTATTTTTGAAAAAAAAAAATAACAAAACAAAACAAAAAAAAACCAAAAAAAAAAAAAAAAAAAAAAAAAAAAAAAGAAAGAAAGAAAACGACAAACAATAACCCATCACAATGAAGACAACAATTACTTGATTGGTCACTTAATAGGAGAAGATGAAGAATTGCGGGAAGGAGGTCGCAAACACATTCACAGAAGTTGCGATTATATTTCTCGACACTGACGCTCATTGATTCTGACTAACTTGGCGACTCAGTCTCTTGTTGTGTCTTTTCGCTCTGCTCGCTGCTTTCGTTTTTCGATCTGAAAGAAATTAATTTCAAAGTTGAGGTCATGTGCTCAGTACTCTTAGTCACCGCGTAGAAATATTTTTTACGGCATTGCTCCTCCGGCAGTGTTATTTATTTATTTTTACTTTTTTCTTTTTGTTTTGTATTTTGTCATAAATGACCTCGGGCAATAAAAGGTAAATAGGATTTTCGTTTAACCATTCTATCAATAAAACATAAAGATAAAATATTTTTCGACGATAAATGTAATCAGTTGTAAAATGCTAAATGTACACGACAAAAGCCGATCTATGTTTAAGTAATAAGAAACATTAATTTCATATCCAATCATGTCTCATGTTGTATTTAAGAACATCGACCGATTGTATGTGACAAAATATTAATTGGCGAGTCTCTTACTAAACAAACAAAAAAAAAATATATATATATATATATATATATATATATAAAGTTTACAATGTAATTTTCATTTAATATCCGAGACTAAAATTGTCGAAAAATAAAATTATTCTTTAAAACTACATCGTGGAGCTGATTTTTAATATTACTACTGACTATTCTAATCAAGTTGCACTTATTGAATTAATTGTTCGAGCTTATTATATTTTAAAAACTTCACAATACTTATACTATCAATCTTTCCTACATTTTTTCTTCTTTTTTTTTTTTTTTTTTTTGGTTGATTGTTAATAAGTTAACATTTAAAATAGTGATGGTTATATCATATATAAGAGTTCTACAATGCCATACCATATTCCATTTTTTGGAAAAATTAATTTTCTGCAATTGAAGATAAATGGTAAAAATGAAAAAAAAAAAAAAAAAAAAAAAAAAAAAAAAAATTAATGGCATTCAATGTTCGGTAAAATTGATAATTTAAAAAAAAAGGGAAAAAAAAAAAAAAAAAAAAAAAAAAAAAAGATAAGATAAAATTAATGGCATTCAATGTTCGGTAAAATTGATAATTTAACTATAAATCGTTGTTTTTTTTTTTTTTTTTTGGACTTTGATGGCTTGCCATATATAATAATTTACACCTCGTTGTCAAATAAATGAAAAATCACATTTGCACATATGCATTCATAACCACCCACATACTCGCAAACATCGCGCGTGCTTATTCGCTACATTAGACCATTTTTCATCCTTGATTATTGTATTGTTGTTTTTATTATATCATGAGATTAGCATAAAAAATTATTCAGAAACTAATTTTTTTTCTTATCTCTTCATTCCCGCCGCCCCAAACGAATGCCTTTGAAATTAATTATTACTATTAATTTTCGAGATTCGTTCGCTTAACATTCGCTTCACGAGCGTACATTCTACAAAATAATAAATTAATAATAATTAAAAACAAATCTGTAACTACAATAAAAAAAAAAAAAAAGTTTAAAATATTTTTAAAATTATATTTTCTGAATTACACATTAATGCTTCATGACACAATATTTATTATCTACGTATAAAAAGTTCTGAATGATTTTTATTGCATGAATTCTTAATTTGCTTAGTTTTTCTTTTTTCTTTCACTTTAAACCTCTAAATTGTTTTTGGCCTATCGCCACACTCTTTATATACTTCCTATTAGTATCGCACCGTTTCACATTTACGATAACATTGTACAGTGTTCTACAAAATTTCGTCGTCTATATATAAATACAATAACTACGAAAGTTTGAGTAGCGAGAAATAGCTATTATTTATTATATTTCTTTACTAAATAAATGTTTCCTAACTACGTCTACAGTGTGTTACTTGACTAATGTATTGTAAAATAATTTCTAATTGTCTTTAAGCGATTAAATTTGAATTTTCTTTAGGCATAGTGCTTTTACTTGCCGTTTGCAATATTCAATCAATCAATCAATATTTTCATATTAATGCAATCATTTTCCAATCGTGCAATTCTTATATAAACTTTTTCAAAAATCTTATATGTGCTGTCATAGCTAATAATAAAAATTATCAATAAAAAATGAAAATGCAAAAAAAAAAAAAAAAAAAAAAAAAAAAAAAAAGAATAAAAAGAAAAAAGAAAAAGAATAATATCTCACAATATTGTAACTCACAGATTTACTTTTGTTTCTTCTTAATTGCATATACAGAGACAATATAATATTATTAAAAGCGTAAGTAAACTATACATTAAAGAATTCGACTTTTGCTTAGAATCTTTAATCAATCTTATTATAAATAAAATATGCATTCAATTGTAATTTCATAAAAGACTAAAGTACTTGACTTATTTTATTTGCTTTTTTTGTTTTGTTTTCTTTTGTTATGATTTATTTTTTTTTTTTTTTTGTTTTTTTTTTTTTTTTTTTTTTTTTTTTTTTTTTTTTTTTTTTTTGTAATAGAGATAGGCACTTTGCTATGTTTCTGTGTATGTTGACTCGTTCGTTTGACTTTTATCGAGAAACTCGTGGATTATTTATTGTATTGAAAAATTGTAGATTATTGTAAATTATATGTCAAATTGCGTCTTAAACCTCAGTATTGTATATTTATTTCAGGCACTCTACTACTTCTTATTCATGCTACACATACAATCATAAATTGTCAGTCGCTCATGCAATTTGCCATAATTTAATTTTTTTTTTTTTATTTATGCTTATTTTGGAACTTTAAAATAGCACCGTGTCTTCGTGTATCTTTTCTTTATTATCTATTATATTAGTTTATTGAATTGTTGAAAAAAAAAGAACAAAAAAAAGAAACAAAAAAGAAAAAAAAACAACAACAACAACATAAATAGTAATATAAATTGCTAATATATGCATATAAATGTATATTCATATGTATGTTTAACCAAATATGGTTCTAAATGAAATAAAAATAAGCGACGATTCGCAGTCATTACGTAACCGAAGAATTTTTAATTTCTTAATATATCTAATTTGGATGTAATTTTCATTTTTTTTTTCTCTCTCTTTCATTTATAATTAGTATTAAAAGGTAAATTTACTGAATATTAATCTAAATAAATGTATATTACTGAACCAGTCTGACTTTCTCGCCACTCGATTAAACATATATTTTATCCTTTTATCTTTTTTTTTTCTCTCGCTCTCGGTTTTTTTTTTTGTTTTTTTTTGTTTGTTTGTTTGTTTGTTTTGTTTTGTTTTTTTGTATTTTTTTTTTTGTTTTTTACTACAATTACATGTAAAAATTGCTTTCTTATGGATTATGTGACTATTCTACTCTGTAACTAAAGTTTTTCTTTTCTGCACATTTGTGTATCTCGCCAAGTTATTATGTTTATATTGTTTTGTCCTTTTATTCATATCCATACTCAGTCTTTCAGTCACCTCAAGTAGTATCGTAATCGACGATATTCTCACTTTTATTTTATTACTTTTTTACTATTAATATTAAATTTGGGATGATGCAAATAAAAAATTATACTTATTTCCTTTGTCTTCCTAATCAGTATTACCATCATTAATAATTAATCGGCGCCATTCGTTGATGACTGTACAGAGTTGGAATGTAAATATTTATTGAAAATCTACTATTACTTTTAATAATTGTAATTTTATTGAAAATTTGAGATGTTTAATAATTCATTCATTTATATACATATATATTTAACTCCCTAAATATATTTAAAATATGGTATCTTATGTTTAACAACTTCAACAATAAGTAGTTAATTAAATGAATTATTGTGAGAGATTAAATTTAAAAAATAAATTTTTCTACAACTTATATAAATGAACTTCTATTATGACAATAAGTCTGAGTTTATTTAACAAGTGCATTTCTTACCCTATTACTATTAATTTAATTATAAATAGAAACTTATAATGCAGCTAATGATTTAAAGTTGGACAAGATTTTGATAAACAAATTCTTGAGTAACGATATTAAATAAGTGTTATGTCTATAGAGCAATAAACTATTCACTAAGTGATCCATAAAATTACAATCACCAAAACAGAATAATAGCAATTCACTTTTACATTATAAATATCGCCCAACTCTGACACGTTAAAGTTTCAATATCTCTAAATATGCGTGTTCCTAATAACATCACACGGGTAAAAATGCGTAAGTTTGCAATTTTACTTAATAATTCACGCTATCGCTCGGTGTACAAAAATCGCAAAGTAGGTTAAAGAAAAACGCTTTTTTGTTTTTATCTATTATTTTCAAGTATAAAAAAATACGATTAATGATAGATTTTAAAACGATAGATTTAAAAGAAAATTTTATGTTGCGTATAAATATTTCAATCGAGGCTTCTTCGGAACCTTAAACGTTTTTCCATTTATTTTTAAATACGAATTATTATACTTCTGAACAGTTTTATTCTCTTTTATGCTTTTTGTCAAAGGAATCGAAAATTAAAACGACTATTATACGATCTATTTCGACATTATCAGATTCGGTAAATCGAAAAAATTAAATTTTTGAAAACAATAAGTGCAAATAAAATATGAAAATAGGCTTCCGAGTATCTGACTTTTTTTTTTTTTTTTTTTTTTTTTTTTTTTTTTTGTAGTGACCGCCTTCTGGTAAAAAAATATTGTTTTCTATAAAATATCAATTTGAATATCATCGTCGGTGCTCTTTCTCGAAATTAAAGTTTTTAAACCAACGAGGTCTGGAAAAATACCAGTTTTCCCCTTCCTTTATTGTTTCATTCATATTATTGTTTCACGTCATATTCCTAATTTTTTCTTTTGTAAGTTATTGTGTGTGCATATACATACACGCATATATGCATATGCATATATATATTTATATATATATATATATATATATATACACATATACAAATACGTATCCACGCGTATAAATATAAATATGTATATAACTTCCGGGAGCGTGTTAATCTTTCGATTGAAAAATGGCGCGTGAATCGGCAATGAAATTGCCTAGTGGGTGGTAGATACACACACACACACAGAGAGACAGAGAGAGAGAGAGAGAGAGACGCGTTAGGATTTCACGACGAAACAATTATACAATATTTGGGCACGTTTCAAATTATTTCACATAATAGTCCCTATTGTAGGCATATTTTTCCCAGATCAGCTCGCACATTTAGTCTAGTTTTGCATGTTATAATACGCCAATACACTCCCGCCAACAATAGCGGCACCTAGACCTAATGAAAGGGGCGAAAATAATGACCTCTTGAGCTTCTGCCAGTCTTCCGATTGCTTTTGTCGTCGTTTCATTTCCCGCACCTGCGCATCAATTCTGTCCTTTTTCTCCATTCGCCGTCGACGCAATTCGTTCTTCCTAAAAATTAAATAAAAAATAAAATCAAAATATATGGTATCAAATAAGAAAAATAGATCAATGAAAGTGAGGAGGCGTGTTAACGATGAACCAAATTTTTAAAAGAAGACTTTTTAATTGCAAACTTACGAATCGGGACTGGACGGTGGACTATTTGTCTGAAATGAATTGTCTCCATCGCTTTTACTACGTTTTGTTGATGCATCGCCACTAGAAGCATTTTGTTCACCAACGTGATTCGACGAACCAGTAGAATTTGAATCGATGCCTGCTGATGGTTCGCACGGTAGTGGCTTGTCAGGAGGTTTGTTTCCAGAATTTTCTACAATTTATAATGAAAATTCTCGCTTATTAAATGAATTTAATTTATATGTAATATAAATACATCAGATGTATTGAATAAGAATTTCAGCATACACGAGTAATTAATTGGATTAATTTCAGATACATAAGTGAAATGGAGTTAAGAATGTAACAAATAATCATTTCTATCAAAGCTTTGGCCGTAAAATGAAGAAATTCCTTGAAATGCAGGCTGGCTCACTTTCACGGTGCTGCGTATCTTCCGTTATCTATTGTTGTATATTGTTTCTCTAGGGCGGAAATAAAATGAAAATAGGTTTGCCAATAATTACCATTATCCGTAATGGGGCCAGGCGTCGAATCCGACATCATGCTGCGAGTTAAGGATTCCCCCCTCGGAGGTGGCAGAGGAGGTTGTTCCACAACTTCTGTAACTTCTGGTGTCGTATAATTAAAACTATATATATCATTTTGCGCATTTCCTATTTCACTATTGTCCACATTCTGAAAATTGAATGCAAAATTGATTTTTTTACAATGAGTTTATTAATTTGCCGTTGACACAGCAGACCAATGCCATTAGAATATAGGATAAATGTATGCTAAAATGCGGAATAAGAAGGAAAATCATGAAATAATGCAAATTAATCAATCGCAAACAACACTAATAGCATTGTGCCACTGTGAATTGGTATTAGTTACCACGTTATTAAGAGGCAATTGTTTCGATCCCACGATGATGGCTGCATACGAGAATCGTAATTGGTCTGGCGTTTGAATCAAGCCCATTCGAGATTGTCTCATTTCTATCAAGACTTCTCGTACATTAACGGAATTCAAACCATTCTCTTCAATCTGAAAAAAAAAAAAATTAATAATAATAATAAGAAGAAGAAGAAGAAGAAATGACGGCGGCAACAACGACAATAACAATAATATCGTTAAATTATTTCACTATTTTTGCAATTATCGAACTTTTATTCATCATGATAGTGTATCCTAATGATGTTACATTAATCCTTAAACTATAAAGCAACATTTTATTCTAATAACTTAACAATAAATGAAATTTATCGACTCAAAGTAAATTAAAATATTCTAGTTTCTATATGAGAGTATAACAAATTAGAAACTTAACCAATATCGACAAAAATATTGATACATAGTTCAAAATTTGCAAAAATGTTGCTTAATTCATAATTGTATATTAAATTTTAAATACCATTCCCAATAAGTGGGCATGAAATAAAAATGAAGGAAGGTATTAAAATATTCAGTGGTAATTGCCTTTTAATTCGTTAAATATATGCTGCTTATTTAAAAGCTAAATTAATAAATAATTAGAATTATCTCACAATTGATTATTCATGTTACATTGTGCACGTTATTTTAATTGCTTTTCTCACTTAATTTACAAGGATAAAATTATAATAATAACAATAAGAGAGGACAATAAGAGTAAACATAATAAAACTATCTGGTTAAGTATCAATTATCACAAATTACATCGATTGGTTTTTTATTTAGCGTTAGGCTTTCATTACTACGCCTCTGCCCTTTTACTTGTCATCTCATAGAGACGAAACGCGAGAGAAATCTCAATTGTTTTTAGTTTCGGATACCCACCAATACTAAACATGTGTCTACCAGGCAGAATGTGCCTGATCTGCCAATGCCGGCCGAACAATGTACAATGGGTGGGCCGACGTTCTGGTCCAGGGCACCGGATTGCCTCACATCCGCCAAAAATCGTAAAAACGCTGCGGGACTCCTGGGTACACCGAAGTCCGGCCACGTGGTGTAGTGAAAGTGCAGTATGTCTCGGCTTTTTTGCGATTCAGTATCCGTTAATCTAATTTAAGATCATTATTAAAGATAATTTACATATAATAATATCAATTTTAATGGTCTTAAATAACTTTGAAGGAAAATGCCCGAGATGTGGGAGATTTGTGGTTCTTGGCGTCAAATCAAAACGCCGTGATTTTTGCGGCTATTAAGTCGAGCGTTTTCTCGAGGTCTTCATCGAGCCTTACGCATTATTTATCCTCGAAATGCGGGAAATTTTTCGATTTTACATTTTTAGACTTTAACCACATGACGTTGCATTATAAATCTATTCATGATGCGTAGTATTTGTAATTAGAGCTCTAACATTCTCCTTGGAATTAGTTCAAACCTTTATTAATTTCACACTTATAAATTGTTTGCACTGGCTAATGATTTTAAATGATTTTAAATGACACACTCGTATAAAGTGATAGAGAAATAGATATTCTTCAAACGAATGGATTTTATTAAACTTATCGTAGTATCAACAATAAGATCCGATTATTCGAAATTTCAAAAGAAATAGTGGTAGTACTTGCTTTTGCCTCTCAAAATGCCTTAGCACACTTAATTAAATCATTTTCTATAGATTCTGATAGAATTCTAGAACATTGAGACATTCTGATAGAGAGAAACAGAAGGAAAGAAAAATAATAGTGCAAAATAAGGAACAATTTGTATATTATCGAATTAAAGAGAGTTTTTGGTTAGTCTGTTTTGTACAAATTAAATGTTTGTCTAGTTAAAGAATTATAATAATGGACACGAATATAATAATTCTGCAAAGTCTGTTTTCTATAAGTTAGCGTTGCTCACCTCAGTGTGCAAATCGTGTAATCAGATGACTCAGTTTTACTGATATATTCCACTTTGAGATCAACATCGGTAAGGTTCATTGTGTGATCGGATGAACCGTCGAGTGGCCAATATTGATGGCACTTCACCTGATTTTTCTCAATTACTTTGTTTAGCATTATTATTGCTTTACTATTTTGCTCCCACACCATTAGCCAAAAGTGGCTGATTGTGTTTGGCAAAGGTCCTTGCGTCAAGATATATTGCCTTTGGGCTCGCTCCATCTGTAAGTCATACGTAATGGTTCATTTTTTTTAATAAATATTCCTGACAAATTAATAAGCCACTGCATTTAAATGTTACAATATTATTAAATGTCGAGACGTGGCTTTACATTCTAATTTAATTAAAATTATATGTTAAGCTTTGGCTTCACATTTTGAACGTTTGGTCAAACGGTTGAGAAAATAATTTTCTTTCATTTACATTAAATAAATATAGATAACCGCTCACATTATTTTTGAAAGAAATATATTTAAACATGTAATTTTTATGATTTCGTACAAAAACTTTTTCTTTGATAGTGTCCAGGAATATATAATGGCGAATGAAATGTTTTTTTTTTTTAATCTTACTTTAGTTTCTTCTATTTCTGTTCAAATGGCAAATAAGTTATTTTTAACTGATTAAAGTGTCATTGATGCGCGTTGAGTGAAACTAATTTAAAACAATATGATCTATTTTCATTTCACATAGTTGCAAATATTTTAATTATACATACTGATTTTACTTAAATACTATGCGTTTAATAAAGAATAAATTTCATTCTTTAGCCAAACTAAATATAACATTCGGACTTGATCAGTCACTCTCAACTTACCCGCACAATGTTTGCATTAATATAGTCGCATGGACCTTTTTTGAGGACAATTCTTGTATGATCGTATGGCCAGACATCTCTGTAACGATTTAATGATCTATTTTGTGGTTTTGTACTTTCATCGTAGGTATATTCAAAATGACTGCACTCATTACGCGTATACTGTAAATGATAAAGAAATCACTTTTAAAATAAAATTTCAGAATAACAAATTAGACGGGATTAAAGCTTTAAATTCATAGTAAGGTAACGATGTAATTTTATGAATGTCTTTAAAGTTTGAACATTTATTTTCAAAGGCTTTCTGCTTTTAGTAATAATTCACAATCTTGGAAAATTTTAATTAAATCAAATAGATTCATTTTGGATAATGTATTTATGGATTATTGTAGCATATATTTCCCTTTCAAATCATAAAATTACATTGTAATAATAATAAAATGTACAGGATGCTCGAAGCAAATGATATTCTTGTAAAATGATTAATGACATGTAACGTGGAACAATGTTAGGAAGCCATTATTACAGCTACTAGTTAGAAATATTGATTATCAATTTAACTCATCCAAATGTCAGTGCGATAAATAATTCAAAAGTAAGGCTTGTTTCTACAAGGACAAAGAAAAAAAGTTTCATAGAATATTGAAAAGAGTACAAAGGCAAATTCAGTCACATACACGAGAAAGTTTTTTACTCCCTTGCATTGAAACGTTTAATTAATTCATTAAGAGACATTTGTAAATAGCATAGTAAACAATGTAACGATAATTATTAGTTTTTAGTTGGATCCAAAAATACAATATATTTTGAGAACATATTTTTCATTCAAATCAGACGTAAAAAATGGAGCTCAAAGGTAATAGTTATATTTAGCATTACAAAAGTTCAAAATAACAGTTCTTGAGTTCATATTCCAGTTATACTTATTTCAAGTATAAACTATACAATTTAAATCAACATTACAGCATATAATGATTATTAATTTTGCATATTATTGTTGCTTATTTAATACAGTATGTGTGCAACAATAATGTAAAATGTGCAACTTTGTCATATATTTTTGACAGTTTTAATCCGATTTTTTCTCTCAAAGTTTTATGTAATTGTATGCTTATAAAATGCTCTTGTGATTATTAATTATGTAATATTAATACAAAATTTATAATATATTAATAGGTAATAAAAAATTGGATAGAAATACATAATAGTAGAATGTAGTTTAAAATATAAATATAAGGAATTTTCTCTTACTTTTTCAAAGTTCATTGACTCTATAAGTAAGGTAATCTTTTAAAATAGCGTAACACGAGAACGGACAGAGTTGAATTATATTAGGTAAATTGTATTATAGTATTACTCCTCTATTGGATTGACGGATAACTTTTTACACAAAGAGGTTATTAAAATGACTATAGCTTGGCTATTTGTTATCATACACACGTGATAGCTATTTCTCTTATGCCAAATATCAATAAAAGAAAATTTACATAAAACGCCATTTAAATGAGCTTTTTGAACAAAGTTTTACATAAAAATAAAGATATCTAATTAACGGTACAAATGTCTGTTTTACATTGATTAAGTATTAAACATTCGCATTCATATGATAAATCTTTGATATTCTCAATGTGCAGAATATAAATTTGGAGTAAAATTAAATACAATGAAAATTAATTAATTATTTAGATAATCACTAATATATATAAAATGAAAATTGCAATATATAGTATGAGACATTAGCGTTAGCAGTGCGATATCCAATGAACAAAAAATAATAAAATAATAGGCTTTAGTTTTTAGGATAGCTGCCATAAAATACAAATGAAATTCACAGTTGTCCAAGAAATGCTTTCCTCGAACAATGAGAAGCATAAATTGAGGATTGTAAAGAAAACGCAATTTTAGGTTATTTTTAATTTTAATTTTAGCTATCCTATGTTTATAATACAGTGATTGGGTATTTAAAAGAGTAAAAGTTTCTAATATCGAAAAATGATAAAAATGCACTATAATTATAGAATAAAATTATTTTTAAAGTTCCAAAATTTGTTTTATATAATCCTCTGAAACTATACAAATCATAAATATTAATATGACAACGAAATATTGCAGATTTAGTTTAGCTTCATTAAAGCATATACCAGTGTTGACAAATTTTTTCCCTTACAAGTGTGTATTTCTTAAAATTTTTTCCTCCCTCATACTGTGGCATTCAAGCGAAGAGCACATCGGATTAGAGAATTTTCCGAGGAAAAATCATAGATTAAAGAACAAAAGGTGACTTTTATACATGAGCCTTTGGTGTTATACAGCTACAATCACAAAGGCCCAAGCGAGTTAGGATGACGAATACTGAGAAGAACCAAGATTAACGAACGAGTGAGAGGGATTGTGTGTGTGTATGTGCGTGTTTGTACGTATGAGTTCGAGTGTGTATGAAAGAAAGAGAGAGAGAGAGAGAGAGAGAGAGAGAGAGAGAGAGAGAGAGAGAGAGACGGGAGAGGAAACAATAGAGATAAACTACTGACAACATGAATTGACCAGGATTAATAAGAACAAATTCTGTGACGAATAATCTTATGGGTATGGGTATGGGTGTGTGTGCGTGCATGTGTGTGCGTGCATGCGTGCGCGTGTGTGTGTGTGTGTGTGTTTGTGTGAGTGAGAGAGAGAGAGAGAGAGAGAGAGAGAGAAAGTGGGTCGGGAAAAAATAAATTATGATACTGCACCGAGGGGAAAGCGCGAGACAGCCTTTTTCTTATTTCGGAGCAAAAAGAAAACAATCGCGCGAACTGCTATATCCCGAGGGGGTGGGGATGCGATTTGCGGTAAAAAGGAAAATTTCGGAGGATGGATTATGAAGGTTTTGACGGCCGAAGTATTCGAATGTTTGTCGCTCGGAGGAGATATGAGTGGAGGAAGCATCGATTTGGTGAAAAGCAACGAGAAATAAAAAGATCTCCACCTGATAAAGCATTGGCCAGGCATTTTTCGAGTTGATCTCCAGATACTCCGTTTCCACATTACTCGTCGTCGGCGTCTCACTGCTGGTCATCCTGACTTACCCCAGACTCGCTGGAGTACGTGCGTGCGATAACTCCACACGCGCGCGCACACGCACACGCACACACGGAGACGCGCGCGCGCGCGCTATGAAAAGCGTACGCGCACCGAGGGTCCGTCTTTACCGGGTCTCGAGACTCTTCGTCCACGTCGTGACTCGCGCCGCCAAGCTGCTGCTCTCCTTCTTCCTTGGCTTTGGTCTTCCTTCGTTCTCCTACTCTCTCTTTCCCGACGACGCTTCGGTCCCTTTTCCCACCCGGTCACCTCACTCTCACTCACTCACTCACTCACTCACTCACTCTCACTCTCACTCTCTCTCTCTCTCTCTCTCTCTCTCCCTCTTTCGTTCGTTCGCCTCTCGCCCCGGCGAATATACGTGTGGTCGCGCACGCACGAGTACGCACGCACGCAAGCAGGCAGGCAGGCAGACAGACAGTGAAGCAGGAACGCGCGCAGGGAAAGACGACGCGCACACGTCGGGGTTACAATTCACTCTCGTGCTCTCCCTCTCGGCTTCTGGGGAGGCTCTTCGGCAGATCTTTCCTTTGCGGCGCTGTTAAATGAGCTTTCTCCGGCCTCGGAAAGCACGTTCACGCCGCCACTCCGGTCATCGTAAAGTCTCCAGGTTGCACGGATTTGTTGCCCCTTTATCTAACTCTCTCTCTCTCTCTCTCTCTCTCTCTCTCACTCTATCTATCTATCTCTATCGTATGGTTCTACGCTCCTCGCTCTCGCCCCTGTCTTTTTTCTTTCAATACAGCCACGAGATCCTATTGTGCACACGCTCGCGAGCGTGTAAATACGTGTATTCGTTTACTCCACTCTCCGGTTTTCTTCTCTTCTCCCTTTTTCTGCGTCTTCAAATACGCATGTGCGTGCGCGCGCGCGCATGCTCTCTCTCTCTCTCTCTCTCTCTCTATCTCTCTCTCACTATCGTCGCCTCGAGAGAGACGAGAGAGATTACACGAAGCACTATTAGTAAGTATGAAGTAGTAGAGTAGGGCCACGACGGAACATTATGCGATTGCCCGGCGGAGCATGACCATGGCTTGGGGGGGGGGTAGGTATTGTGCGGTCGGCGGGGTGGGGTAGAGAGAGGAAATAACGAGAGGCAGAGCGAGTGAGTGAGAAGGCGGTAGTAGCGGTGGTGCGTGGTGAGTCGCTCTTATTGTCGTCATTGGGCGTTCGGCAGTCGTGGCGTCGTAAACGTTACTTCCTCGCCTACGTACGCGAGACAGATGGTTTTCGTCTAAAGGTCATCTCTCTTGAATGAAATCATCCATGGTCGAGAAGTCCTGGCGATAAAGGATGAAAATGCCGAGGGAGCCCTCGTCCTCCCTCTCCACCGCTCCATCGTCAACACCACCATATTCCCCAACGACGCATGCGCGCCCACGGAATTCACGATTTCTACGTGCATTCTTCATTTTAAAGTTCTCTCGGCTTACTCACTCTTATCATCACAACTAATTTTTAAACGTACAATGCCTATCACAGCTTTTACTATGAAAACTACACGTTCTGACAAAAGTTGTCATTTGCACCTTATTTCATAGCTTTTTTTTTTTTTTTTTGTTTTTTTTGGGTCGCGCATGCGTCACCGAACACCGTCATCGCCAAAAGATCGCCGTCGGTGCGAATGTAGCGATGGGGCGGTTTAGCGGTCATACAGAGAGAGAGAGAGAGAGAGAGAGAGAGAGAGAGAACGATAGACAGATGGGGCGTCGGGGGGAGGCTGTAGAGAATTGCAGAGAGTCGGTAGGTAGGTAAGGTAAAGCCAATGTTTGTCGCGTACGCAACGATACATATTTGTTCTAAGCTCACGAGTTTATGACTACGCGGGCAATAAGTTTTCCGAACTATTTAATTCAAGGAACTAATCGACGACGAGGCCTTTAGAGAAACGCTGACGCAACGTTCTCTTCCGAGAGACAATTAATCCTTATAGCGTCATTATATCACTTTATATCGTCGTGTTAACATTAAAGTCGGACGTTCAAATAAGGGATCGGATTTTCATTGTAAAACGGTCGTAAAGCACAAGAATAATGGAATTTTGAGGGTAGCGCGCGAGGGCTGAGTGGAAAATATTCAATTAGCCCTATGAATTTTCATAATCGGCTATCTTTCACCATTGCAATACAAGAATTGTAAAGATCGTAGGGGCTTGAAAGTATTCGAAAAACTCATGGGACGCGAAGCCTCGAGCGTATCAGCTTGGAGCGTTTAATCGCGTATGCGACGACGATTACCTTACCCTCGCGATATCCGGCAACGGATTCTTATTAAAGACGCGGATTGTTGTCGCGTCTCGGGAATGGCTTCGGAGGCTGATTCAGTCGCGCGTAGCGATCAAGGAGATCCGGGGGCGGAGGACGGGATAGGGAGACATGTGTGCTCGTGCTTGTGCTTGTGCTTGTGCTTGCGCTTGTGCTTGTGCGTGCGTGCGGGCGGGTGTGCGGGCTGACGCAAGGGGAAGGGGCGAATAAGTGGAAAAGGAAAAGAAAGGCGCGTGCGTTCGTGAAGCTCCGTAGGAAAAGCGTCATCGAGCGTTTGTGGGAAAGAGGCTCGCGACGGGGCAGACAGCAAGAGGCAAGAACGGTGGCCGACGGAGGCCGATTACTAAGCCGACGATGACGTTCTATCGATCATAAATGTCCCATTAATCCAAAAAGCATCGATTGGTTTGCTTTAACTTGCTTTATAAGACGGCGGCCGACAACGAAGCTTTATTCAACTTTTCAAACAGACTGACATGTCTCTTAAAGACGTTTACAGTCTTCTATCGAGCTTAAATCACCTGATAATGACAAATTTTACAAACTGTATAAATAAATTGTCGCGGACCAAGAGAGGGGCGGATGGCGGATGGTTAGAGAGAGAGAGAGAGAGAGAGAGAGAGAGCGAGAGAGAGAGAGGGGGGGGGGGACGACAGTTATGGGCTTCTGAAAAAATAACTTTAACAAAGCTGGATTTACCGAGAGTAAATTAATCGCTTTGCCTCCGTCCGCTTCGTTCAATCAAGCTCTTCTTCGTTTTCTTATGTTTATTAAATAATTCTGATTCATCGCGTGAAAAGCTCGTCAATTGCATACAAGCCTCACTATTGCGTACAAGCGGCGCTGCATATATTAATGTAATAACTTATTTTAACAATAAGCGATGACATAGTAGTAGTATACAAAAAGAAGAAGAAGAAAAGAATATATTAAAAAGGAGAAAGCGACAATCGAACAAGTTTAATAAGCTTCAAAATTATTTCCATTCTCTAATTAAATAAGCATTCGCTTTTATTATACTTATTTCGAGGGAGTGACGAAGATTGACGAACAAAGTTGGAAAATATAGAGAGATATTGAGAAACATCAGACACAAGAAAAATCAGTCATTATTTATAAAAAAAAAGATATCGTTTAAACAGTTATTTCGCTTAAATTGCATTTTCCACGTTGCTTCGTTCTAAGCGGAGATCGCATAGATCGACGTCGAATCGTTAATTGCATTATGGAAGAGAGATCGCGATACATACCGATCCAAATGATCAAAGCAAATGCTTCGACATAGACTCTCCGCCACAATTTAGAATTAATTTTCCAGAATAATACGCGAACAAACACGGACTTACCGCGCTACGATGACTAACTCAAGACTTGCATTTGATCAAGATACGATCGATACGTTGCTATTTGACATTCGATTGCAATGGTGGGACGCGTCTATCGTTCCTACGATCATCGATCGCCAATAGTACGTGCGATCGGAGCTACGGAGTCGACGTCAGGCATATCGCGAGTCGAGTTACAACGACTCGCGTAGCATACGCACATTTTAATCGATTCGCAATCACGTGGAACGTCGCACTTCCATCCCCCTTGATAGGGACTCCGAGGGCGCAGTATTTCGTTCTATTTTGGTCGTCTGTGCCTCTCCCCCTCACCCCTCCCCACCAAGCCCGCCCTCACGAGCCACAGCCGAATGTAGTGTGACATAATGCGAGGCAGCTATTGCTCCCGAGTGAATTCCACCCTGCGATCCGATACGAATTAACGGCATTCACGGGCAATAAAACTTCTAGCCGAAATTTTTAGCCAAATTAATGAATTTTCATATAAACCGTAGGAAAGCATCGCTCTTATCGAGTGTATTCCATGCACACGCTCAATTGGAAATATTCCAGTGAGCCAAGTATTGGCTTTGTTTAAAATTGTTATCTTGTTTATTATAAGCGTGTTAAATAATAGAGCAATAATTTACAAACAATAATTCATCGGATAAAGTTTGTGAAAAAAAATTAAGTTGAATTAACATTGTTATTCCTTTGTTTTTCTACATTTCGGCCATTTAGTTTATAGTGCACACGAGCATGCGAATTCAAATATTGGTGAGGTCAGCTATTTTTGGTATACGTATTCTTCAACGCGCTCGCGTACGCTTAACTTCGCTCGTACTTCCGCTTCATTATTCCTACTTCTTCTTTATTACTTCAAATAGAAGCCTGCAAAATTTGGCCAGATTTTTAGGGATTAAAACCGATAAGAAATACTATGATATCCTTTAATACTATGGCGGCAATATTTCTTTATATTATTGATTCGTATCAATACATAGGGTCGACTATTTTCCATTTTCAATTTCTTGATAACGTACTGGAAATTTTAACTTATTGATGTTTTCTACGTCCCGTATATCTTTCCTTTCAAAATCCGTATAAAGAGATTGGGGAAAGGCGCTGATACCGAAACAGACAACATTTTCAATACTAAAATCAATTACATAAAATTTATTTACTTTAAGTTCTACATTGAATTAATAAAGCTAATATTAGCGAAGCTAATGTTATATCAATTCATACTTACGATATGACCTAAAAATAAAACTCCGTATCGGACACGATTGCTTAAATATTATTTTTTAAAATACTTTTAAAAGGATGACGAGTGTGCGATTTTTCACGATTTAGATAGTCAATTAATTTTTTTTTTTTCGTTTGTTTTGTTTTGTTTTGTTTTGTTTTGTTTACACTAACATGTTGACATTTTAGATATTTTTCCGAATGAAAAATCGTAACGATAGCAATTAGAAAGCTATTTGAACGTGTGAAAAGTGTAACACTTATATCGGATTATTGGTAAAATAGTATTTGACTTGAAAAGAGCTTTAAATTATAAATGACAAAGAACTAATTATTCGAAGACTTTGTTCGCATATAAAACAAAAAAAAAAACTGACAAATCGACCGAGTCAATGATTTGTGTCAATTTCAACATTATTAACACTTGAAGAATTGGTAATATTTGTATGTATGAGACATTTTAAAAGCAAAT